CACAACAGCACCCTGAATAGAACAGCGTCCTCACACAACAGCACCCTGTATAGAACAGCTTCCTGGCACAACAGCACCCTGAATAGAACAGCGTCCTCACACAACAGCACCCTGTATAGAACAGCTTCCTGGCACAACAGCACCCTGAATAGAACAGCGCCCTCACACAACAGCACCCTGAATAGAACAGCGTCCTCACACAACAGCACCCTGAATAGAACAGCTTCCTCACACAACAGCACCCTGAATAGAACAGCGTCCTCACACAATAGCATCTTGTAAACTCCCTCAACATAACAGCACCATTAAACACACAACGATTGAGATAGTGTTGGAAAAGATTACAGACGACAGAAGAATGTCAACAGCCCTTTAAATTCTTGGCTCAGAATTCTAAAGTTGGCGATGTGGAAGCTGAAATTACATTAGTACTTTTGAAACCTTGGAAACTGTATGAATGGCATACTTGATAGTTTACGTCTACTTCAAGAATAATTGTCTTATTAGTTTAATGATAGCTTTATTTAAGAAGAAACCACATTTCGGACAGTAAAGTCTGGAAAACCTGGCTAAAATAGTTTTTATCTAAGCTGACATGCGCAGTTTTACCTGAATCTCCCTTAGCTCTGAGAGCAGGACTGGTTCAAGATAGGTGAAAACGTTTGAACCTAATTTCATGCTTATTTACGCCGTCTGTGGGAGACATTCATTTCGACATGAAATAATATTGTTGGCTGCGCTGATGTGAAGTGCTCTATCAATTATTCCCTGCATGTTGAAAGTTCGTCATTTCCAACAGGGAAAAGATGGTCTAAAATAAACGACCAGGTTAAAGGTCATGGTCGATCTAGATGAGTTTGCACGTGGTACACGTGAACTCGAGGTTCAGGTCGACCTGACCGTTTGTTTACCCGTAACCTGGTCCCTGACACGTGACCTTGGCTGTTGTGTTATCATTGACAGAATCATAATGAAGCTGAGAATCATCACTATAGAGAGGCAACGGGAGCCTAAATAGCTTGTTTAATGATTGGAAACACTATTTTTGTTAAGTCGTTAATCAGCATGTGGTGTTATCTCCGTATGTGCATCTTTCATGTTCTTTACTCGGATGATATCAACACACCCAACTCTACAGTGTTTTTAACACACCCAACCCTGCAGTGTTTCAAAACACCCAACCCTGTAATAAGTGGGTTGTCTCAACGCATGAACCTCTACAGATAAGCGAGAATGAACTGCAGGCCAGATATGCAAGTCAATGAGATTCTAGAACCGTGTGTTTTGATGACGGCACATTTCTGAGGCGCAGTTCTGTGGAGAAGTTTGGTTCGGGGACAATTATAAATACATGAAGCCTTATTAATGGCTGGGCTGTTTTCATCGCCACTCGTCACGTTCATGGATTCCCTGGCGGCTCACGTTCGGTGCCCTGTCATGGCGGCTCTGGTTTGGTGCCCTGTCATGGTGGCTCACGTTTGGTGCCCTGTCATGGTGGCTCATGTTTGGTGCCCTGTCATGGCGGCTCACGTTTGGTGCCCTGTCATGGCGGCTCACGTTTGGTGCCCTGTCATGGTGGCTCACGTTTGGTGCCCTGTCATGGTGGCTCACGTTTGGTGCCCTGTCATGGCGGCTCTGGTTTGGTGCCCTGTCATGGCGGCTCTGGTTTGGTGCCCTGTCATGTTGGCTCACGTTTGGTGCCCTGTCATGGTGGCTCACGTTTGGTGCCCTGTCATTGCGGCTCACGTTTGGTGCCCTGTCATGTTGGCTCTGGTTTGGTGCCCTGTCATGGTGGCTCACGTTTGGTGCCCTGTCGTGGCGGCTCTGGTTTGGTGCCCTGTCATGTTGGCTCACGTTTGGTGCCCTGTCATGGTGGCTCACGTTTGGTGCCCTGTCATGGTGGCTCACGTTTGGTGCCCTGTCATGGTGGCTCTGGTTTGGTGCCCTGTCATGTTGGCTCACGTTTGGTGCCCTGTCGTGGTGGCTCTGGTTTGGTGCCCTGTCATGGTGGCTCTGGTTTGGTGCCCTGTCATGGCGGCTCACGTTTGGTGCCCTGTCGTGGCGGCTCACGTTTGGTGCCGTCATGGTGGCTCTGGTTTGGTGCCCTGTCATGGTGGCTCTGATTTGGTGCCCTGTCATGGCGGCTCACGTTTGGTCCCCATTCATGGTGGCTCACGTTTGGTGCCCTCTTATGGCGGCTCACGTTTGGTGCCCTGTCATGTTGGCTCTGGTTTGATGCCCTGTCATAGACATAATGCCCTTGTATTTATGTTTGTGTAAATTGTCTTCGTATTAATTGGTGTTAAGGTCTCTGATAATCGTCGGTACAGTTGACCACAGATGGAAAATGCCAGCCTAATATTAAAGTTGTATTGAATTAAACCACGTGGCACCTTGTTTTACGTAATAATGTTTATTGTTGGCAACCTAAACTAGTGGTGTTTTTTTTTTCTTGTGATGCTGGCGTGTGTGGTATCACTGAATGCATGTGTAGACAGTGTGCCATGAATGTTTTATTGAAAACTTTTGACAGAGAGTGTGAGGTATCACTTTTGACAGAGTGTGTGAGGTATCACTGCCTTGTGCCGACCCACAACAGTGGTGTCAAAACATTCTATAAATAGCCAGAGGTCAACGCCACCTCATCCGTCTACATTATGCTGCTAAGCTTTTGGTGACGGCTGACCAATAAAAAACCAGCGTGGGGTTGTTTTTTAAACTGCCCCCATGTTTGTTTTTCTTCACTGAAATGTTTCAAAAGCGAGCTGTTTACGGATTCAGTCTCCGCCGGCCTTTCGCATTTTAACACAGAAGTGTGACGTCATCGCATGGCTCATACCCTTACAGAAAACAGCCCGTTTCAACTGTATTATCATCATATTTAATATTGATAAGTCATGTTGTGGTACTACCGTCCTATTGTTGACAATATGCAAATACATCTTCTATAAGGGAAATAAGTTTAGCCCCACGTGACTGCTAGTCAGAATCATGTTTTCCAAACTATGTCATCTTAATAGTTGTCTGAAACTACGTCATCACATTGGCTGTCTGAAACTACGTCATCACATTGGCTGTCTGAAACTACGTCATCACATTGGCTGTCTGAAACTACGTCATCTCAGTAACTGTCTGAAACTACGTCATACTAGTGCAGTGGAAACTACGTCATACTAGTGCAGTGGTTCTTAACCTTTTTGGAAGTACCGAACTCCGCTAGTTACATATGCGCATTCACCGAACCCTTCTTAATAATTCGATCTTCCGCACTGACAAAATTCGATCGTGAATAATATGAGTCGTGTGTGGGCCTTGACCTCCGCCGAACCCCTGAGATTGACTCATCGAACCCCTGGGGTTTGAACGTTATGCCTGTTGCATGATTCCGGGGTGCCACCAAATAATTTGTCTTTGTTATCGTTGGACTCGGACAGCCAACATCAAATCCACGGTCTAGTTCGTCGCACTTCAGCACCTCTGTTTGTTATTTTGTTTCTGTCCTGAAGTTGTTGTATAATGTAGTGTTGTCGTAGTTGCCATCTGAATTAGTTGTATAATATGGCGTTGTCTGCCTTCCACGGCAACAAACAAGTTGTTGACGCTAGAGATTTCTTGGGTTCGCTGACTTTTAGAAATGTGTCTCCTGTCTGGTGGTTACCATCTGGTGGTTGTCATTTGGTAGCTGCAATCTACCATAAAAATGTTTTACTTTGTGAAGGATTGTATTTGTTCCTTACAAACCTTTCTCTTATGTAAATTGCTCAGTTTAGGAATCCTCTTTTCCAGTAGGACGCTCATCCCATTTGATAAAGTTCTATTTAGTGCAGAGGGACCCGCATCCCATAAGTTCCGTTTAGTACAGAGTAATCCTAAACCAATTCAATAAAAACGGACTAGACCCTCTAAACCAAGCTACTTGTTTATAGATATATCCCCACTATTATGATTCTTTACTAGCGTTTTTATATCAGAAACCAATCCGAGTTTTGGCGTCCAACAAAACCTCAGGACTCCAATAAACTTTTTAACGCTGTCTGGAATCTTTCTATTTTCAACCACCCCTCCCCTCCCACCTTTTATGTCCTGTATCGTGTTCGTTAGTAATGGCTCTAGTGAATGGTTTGTTGGTTTAAAGAGGCGAGTGGGTGATAAGTCGGCCATGATAAATGGTGGTTGGGTCATCTAGGTTGATCTGGGTAGACTTCTTGTGTGGTGGTTGGGTCACCTAAGGTCATGTGTGTAGGCGTTGTGTGAAGACTACTTGTGTGGTGGTTGGGTCAACTAAGGTCATGTGTGTAGGCGTTGTGTGAAGACTACTTGTGTGGTGGTTGGGTCAACTAAGGCGATGTGTGTAGGAGTTGTGTGAAGACTACTTGTGTGGTGCTTGGGTCAACTAAGGTCATGTGTGTAGGCGTTGTGTGAAGACTACTTGTGTGGTGGTTGGGTCAACTAAGGTCATGTGTGTAGGCGTTGTGTGAAGACTACTTGTGTGGTGCTTGGGTCAACTAAGGTCATGTGTGTAGGCGTTGTGTGAAGACTACTTGTGTGGTGGTTGGGTCAACTAAGGTCATGTGTGTAGGCGTTGTGTGAAGACTACGTGTGTGGTGGTAGTGGTCTTGACATTAATGGTGGCTGGTACAGATGTGGGTGTATTTTTACTTGACGATGGTTGTGGTGTTGGCTTGTGATGGTTGTGGTGCTGATGGTGGTGATGATGATGGGGGTTGTGTTGAGTGATGGATGTGTTGACTGGTGATTGATGTCTTTTGTACCCGACACTGGACTGATTGCTTGATTCTCTGCTTGAAACCTTGACTTAAAGCTTATTGAGTGGTGTTTGCGCAAAGCAAAACAGCTGTTACTATCCACATGTTTTTGTAAGATTTTAAAACTTGGGAGCTGGAGGATTATGACAATACAAGTTTCATGCTGTGGGACCAAATTTAATTAACAGTTGAATGTTTTTCAAAAAAAAATTAAGATTTGTCCTCTGTCTCCAGCGTCACATGACCTCTGGGAACTGGTTAGTGCTGAGTACGCTGAGCAGCTGGAGGAGGATGGTCAGTACCACAAGGCAGCGACCTACCTGCTGGCTGCCCACAAGGTGCATCAGGCCATCGACTTGTTCAGGAGGCATCGCTTGTTCAGGTAAGGCACTCTATGTTTGTAGCCTAGAGGTCCTTCTGTTTGTAGCCTAGAGGTCGCCTTATGTTTGTAGCCTAGAGGTCCCTCTGTAGCCTAGAGGTCGCCTTATGTTTGTAGCCTAGAGGTCCCTCTGTAGCCTAGAGGTCGCCTTATGTTTGTAGCCTAGAGGTCCCTCTGTAGCCTAGAGGTCGCCTTATGTTTGTAGCCTAGAGGTCCCTCTGTAGCCTAGAGGTCGCCTTATGTTTGTAGCCTAGAGGTCCCTCTGTAGCCTAGAGGTCCCCCTATGTTTGTAACCTAGAGGTCCCCCTGTAGCCTAGAGGTCACCTTATGTTTGTAGCCTAGAGGTCCCCCTATGTTTGTAGCCTAGAGGTCGCCTTATGTCTGTAGCCTAGAGGTCCCCCTATGTTTGTAGCCTAGAGGTCCCTCTGTAGCCTAGAGGTCACCTTATGTTTGTAGCCTAGAGGTCCTCCTATGTTTGTAGCCTAGAGGTCCCGCTATGTTTTTAGTCTAGAGGTCCCTCTGTAGCCTAGAGGTCCCCCTATGTTTGTAACCTAGAGGTCCCTCTGTAGCCTAGAGGTCACCTTATGTTTGTAGCCTAGAGGTCCTCCTATGTTTGTAACCTAGAGGTCCCTCTGTAGCCTAGAGGTCACCTTATGTTTGTAGCCTAGAGGTCCTCCTATGTTTGTAGCCTAGAGGTCCCGCTATGTTTTTAGTCTAGAGGTCCCTCTGTAGCCTAGAGGTCCCCCTATGTTTGTAACCTAGAGGTCCCTCTGTAGCCTAGAGGTCACCTTATGTTTGTAGCCTAGAGGTCCTCCTATGTTTGTAGCCTAGAGGTCCCGCTATGTTTTTAGTCTAGAGGTCCCTCTGTAGCCTAGAGGTCCTCCTATGTCTGTAGCCTAGAGGTCCTCCTATGTCTGTAGCCTAGAGGCCCCCCTATGTCTGTAGCCTAGAGGTCCCCTATGTTTAGTGTAGAGGTCCCTCTGTATGTTTGTAGGCCCATCTTCACTGTATACCTGTACCCTGTATAAGTGCAAGATATCCAGCCAACCTGTAGACTTCCTTCTTCCCATGACATCGCTGTCCACCACTGTCCACCACTGTCCACCACTGTCCACCACTGCCCAGCACTGTATCAACCAAACAAATTGGTGAAGCCATGTCTGTACAGCTGAACCAACATTTGCTGCTGGGAAACCCAGGCCATAGGAATTTATTTGGGAAGCCTGTAGATACATGTAACACTTGTCAGTGTTGACACAGTCAGAGGGGCAGGCCCTAGCTAGTTGTCTATCTACAGAAAAGTTGTGTCTCTAGCTAGTAGTCTATCTACAGAAAAGATGTGTCTCTATCTAGTAGTCTATCTACAGAAAAGACATGTCTCTAGCTAGTAGTCTATCTACAGAAAAGACATGTCTCTAGCTAGTAGTCTATCTACAGAAAAGATGTGTCTCAAGCTAGTAGAAATGTCTGTCTATAGTTGTTATCTAGTACATTTACCTCTCCACAGAGAAGCTGTGTCTCTATAGTCTGCCTATAGTTGTTATCTAGTACATTTACCCCTCCACAGAGAAGCTGTGTCTCTAGTTAGTAGAAATGTCTGTCTATAGTTGTTATCTAGTACATTTACCCCTCCACAGAGAAGCTGTGTCTCTAGTTAGTAGAAATGTCTGTCTATAGTTGTTATCTAGTACATTTACCTCTCCACAGAGAAGCTGTGTCTCTAGTTAGTAGAAATGTCTGTCTATAGTTGTTATCTAGTACATTTACCCCTCCACAGAGAAGCTGTGTCTCTATAGTCTGCCTATAGTTGTTATCTAGTACATTTACCCCTCCACAGAGAAGCTGTGTCTCTAGTTAGTAGAAATGTCTGTCTATAGTTGTTATCTAGTACATTTACCCCTCCACAGAGAAGCTGTGTCTCTATAGTCTGCCTATAGTTGTTATCTAGTACATTTACCCCTCCACAGAGAAGCTGTGTCTCTAGTTAGTAGAAATGTCTGTCTATAGTTGTTATCTAGTACATTTACCCCTCCACAGAGAAGCTGTGTCTCTAGTTAGTAGAAATGTCTGTCTATAGTTGTTATCTAGTACATTTACCCCTCCACAGAGAAGCTGTGTCTCTAGTTAGTAGAAATGTCTGTCTATAGTTGTTATCTAGTACATTTACCCCTCCACAGAGAAGCTGTGTCTCTAGTTAGTAGAAATGTCTGTCTATAGTTGTTATCTAGTACATTTACCTCTCCACAGAGAAGCTGTGTCTCTAGTTAGTACAAATGTCTGTCTATAGTTGTTATCTAGTACATTTACCTCTCCACAGAGAAGCTGTGTCTCTAGCCAAAATGCGTCTCTCACCAGTGGACTCACTGCTTGAAGACTTGTACACAGAATGGGGTCAAAGTTTAATGAAAGATGGCCAGTTTGAACAAGCTGCTAAATGGTAGGTCTATTTTTACTTCTTCAAATAAGATTTTAAAAATAATTTTTTAAATGCTTTATGTTTAACTTTGAACATTCAACTTTTAAAGCTTTTATACATAAATAGTTCTTTAAATATTTTAAAAAATTAATTATTTCTAATGGCTTTTAAATTATATCACTTTCAGCTACTTAGCCATGAGACACATCCAAGAAGCTGGTAAAGCACTGACTAGAAGATTAGACCAATCATCTTTAAAAACAGCGTGTCACATGACCATTTTGGCCAATGATACTCAACAAGGCCTGTCCTATGCTTTTAAGTTATTCTCTCAAAACTTTGTGATGGGAGAGTGGCAGGAGGCTTATACTTTTATCCAAGAACATGAATCACTGAAGGTGAGTACATGGCCTCCCTGAACACTCATCTCTGTATACACACTTCCTGTATGCTCCCATTAGACTGTGAACTAGTCTAGCAGGCCCCACCTTGATACTTGTAACTCAGTCTCTACATGACAGTTCCAGTGTTTCCAGTTGTCCCCTTGTCTTCCTACATGCAGAATAGTTATTTTCTGTATGAGAAATTGGGTAATTTTCTTTTAATGTAAAATAAATGTAATGTGAGTTATAGTGTGTTGTTGATGTAATTGTTACAGTTCTTGCTCCCTCTGGTGAGCACTCATGAGATGCTGGTCCAGCAGCTTGCTGTCATGTGTCCAGGGCTGAACTTGACCCACAAGCCACTCACACCTGATATGTTTGCCCACTGGGACCAGAAGGAAACTGCCAACAATAAAATCACTCTGCCTGGTGAGTCGCTCAAACATCAGCTCTAGACAGTCTAGAGATAATTGTAGTTGTCACATGTACACACACACACACACACAATGGAAAGTTGTGTTCTTGTAGTTGGGAAAAACTAATTGAAAATCACAAACCAGACAAAGTTGTGACACCTTATAGGGAATGGTTTTAGCAACATTTTTAAATAGCTGTCCTAAATGCTGTCACACTGTCAATATTTGTTTTAATTGAAGCCTAAGGATATTTTATAGTAAATAACTTTGGTTTTAACCAACCACAGGTTTTTTATATTAATTTTTTTTGTACATTTTTAAAGTATATTGTGTAAACACATATTTTAAAAATTAATAACACATCTTTAATAATACAATGAAATTTGGTCATCAGAGTTCCTTGTAGACAAGTCTGAGATAGATCCAGTGGTTCCATGGGAGCCATTCCTGATAGATGAGCACACCTTCCCCCACCATCTGCTGCGCTCATGGTACAAACACTTTGACATCAACATGGTGACCCAGGAGTTGACAGCCATGCATGCCGCCATCTCACAGTTGGTGTCACTCAGGCAGAACCTGGGGGACCTGCCTAGTGTAAGTGTGGGGTTGTGGGTGGGCAAGTGAGGGTTGTGTGGGCCTGCCTAGTGTAAGTGTGGGCATGTGAGGGTTGTGTGGACCTGCCTAGTGTAAGTGTGGGCATGTGAGGGTTGTGTGGACCTGCCTAGTGTAAGTGTGGGCATGTGAGGGTTGTGTGGACCTGCCTAGTGTAAGTGTGGGCATGTGAGGGTTGTGTGGACCTGCCTAGTGTAAGTGTGGGCATGTGAGGGTTGTGTGGGCCTGCCTAGTGTAAGTGTGGGCATGTGAGGGTTGTGTGGACATGCCTAGTGTAAGTGTGGGCATGTGAGGGTTGTGTGGGCCTGCCTAGTGTAAGTGTGGGGTTGTGAGTGGACATGTGAGAGTTGTGGACCTGCCTAGTGTAAGTGTGGGCATGTGAGGGTTGTGTGGGCCTGCCTAGTGTAAGTGTGGGCATGTGAGGGTTGTGTGGGCCTGCCTAGTGTAAGTGTGGGCATGTGAGGGTTGTGTGGGCCTGCCTAGTGTAAGTGTGGGCATGTGAGGGTTGTGTGGGCCTGCCTAGTGTAAGTGTGGGCATGTGAGGGTTGTGTGGACATGCCTAGTGTAAGTGTGGGCATGTGAGGGTTGTGTGGGCCTGCCTAGTGTAAGTGTGGGGTTGTGAGTGGACATGTGAGAGTTGTGGACCTGCCTAGTGTAAGTGTGGGCATGTGAGGGTTGTGTGGGCCTGCCTAGTGTAAGTGTGGGGTTGTGGGTGGGCATGTGAGAGTTGTGTGGGCCTGCTAGTGTAAGTGTGGGGTTGTGGGTGGGCATGTGAGAGTTGTGTGGGCCTGCCTAGTGTAAGTGTGGGGTTGTGGGTGGGTATGTGAGAGTTGTGTGGGCCTGCCTAGTGTGTGGGGTTGTGGGTGGAAATGTGAGAGTTGTGTGGGCTGAAGTTTTGTGTGGCTGTGTGGGTAGATGTTATATGTCTGTATGTGGGTGCTGGGTTAAGGTTAAATGTTTGTGTAGCTTACCCAAAAAAATTATTTAGTGCCTTCTCTCCTAATTTTTTTTTTAGTCTTTCAAAATTATTTAAAAGTGTTGTAGAATCCCTTGTTCCACTACTTGTTGTTGTAGCTGTAAACACCCCCCTTCACCACCACCGCCACTGTTTGACTAATTGATTGTTTTGCCCCCCGCAGCTGCTGGTGATGGTCAGCATGGACATCACCCTCTGTCTCCTGGTACTGCTCACCTCGGACACGTCCAAGGCCATCGTCCATCTGATAGAAGCAATGTCCACACTGTACAACAGCAAGCACAAAACACTACACCAAGCTTTGTGTCGCCTCATGCTCCCTCAAGGTGGGACATTTTGACTGGCTCTCTGTGCTTTATTGTCAGGCCTGAATCAGAGAAATAGACTTTTCTATAGGCTAATATTAAGGCTGACATGAGGATTATGTTAAGTCAGGTCTTGATAACAGCTGTGTTGATTTATAGATTCAGTAAATGTAATTTAGCAGAAATAAATTTTTATGAAATATATTACTGAACACTAGATTATGTTTTCGCAAGTTTTAGAATAACAATCATGAAAATCCTGAATTTATCCCATCATGTTTTATATTTTGGTGCTAGTTTAAAAATTTAGAAAAGCCTTATAAAGATTTAATAGGAAGTCACCATAAGGGTTGGTGTTGTGTTAAATAAGTATATTCAAGAAAGTTTAGAGGAGATCACTCCTGCTTTATTATCCTTAGGATTTATAAAAAAAATATGTTTCTGAATTTGAGTAATAAAATTTTTTGTGAGATTTGACTAATGAACCAATGTTTCTCTCCCCAGGTCCAAAGTACTTGCTGAAGCTCCAGCAGGAGTTCAATGCTTCCAGAGTCCTCATCACCATGGAGAGTCACGGAGATGTCAACAAGGCTGGAGGTGAAGGTCATAACAGTATTAAAAAGTTCCTGAGCGACATTAAAGACGACAGCTCCATCTCAACGCCCAGCGTGCGGTGTAGGGAGCTGGACTGTCTGCGGGCGTACTACTACTTGGCCGTGTTGGACTTTGTCCGCGATGGCTTCCCCAATGGTCAGCAGGAGGAGGACATCTTTGATGGCATGCCCAACCAGGTGTTCACTGACCCCAACAGCTGCGTCAGGGAGTTTAAAAACAAAGAGCTGTCCTCGTCTGTTGACCCTTCATGTCTGACTACGCCCTGTGTGGACACCTTGATAAAAAACATTCACAACAGCTTTGGAAACATCAGTGACCTAGACCAGAATGGTAGAATCAGTCAGGCGCCAGTGTCAGATGGTAGAATCGGTCAGGCGCCAGTGTCAGGTGCTAACTTAAATTCTGACAAAAAGACACTTTGTGCTGGTGACTTACAAAGTCAGCCAGGCCATCAAAAAAACTTAGCTCAGGAATATTCTGCACAATCATACTCTGTGGACCCGCCTGTAGTGCCTTTCTCTCAGAAGAAAACTCAGCTGCCTATAACAGCACAGCAGGGTAGGAAATCCCCCTTACCCACCACACCCGTGAAATCACCCACAGACTCCATAAAAAGCTCAAAAACTTCCCCCACCACCTCACTACACAGGCAGACGTCAGCACAAAAAGGTCACCTGACCAACACGAACCTGCTCAGGCTATCCAAGGGCATTCTCTGGGATGTGCAAGCCAAGCGTGAGGCGCTGACCGAGACCCTGGGCTACATCCACCGAGCCATATCTCAGCATTTACTGACAGTCCGACCAGCGGAGGAGCACAAGTCTGGCTGTGCCATGAGCCCCACCCCCAGCAGCTCCAGCTGTAAAACCAGCACTGACGGGAGGGGGCTGGAGGAGGATGGGAGCTGTCACCAGACACGCCTCTCACCATCACCGCTATCACCCACCACATCAGAAATCTTAAACACCGGAAAGACTCCCGTCCGACCAACATTTTTCAATACAAACACTTCGAATAACTCAGAGTCTACCAGCCCTAAAGACAATGACAGCAATGAAAAATCAAAATCCAGTGGATCCAACTCTGGTGGTGAGCGCACTCGATCTCTCTCACCCAAATCTCCTAACTTAAATGAGTTGAGCAGCAGGGGACCATTTCGGAGCAAGTCAGACAATTCTTCATTGTCTCCCTTAAGTCCATCATCCGCTCTAGATCCCTGCGTGGCTCTTCAAGTGGAGCATGACTTGCTTGGACATTACGATGGAAACCAAGTGACATTTCAAAAACCAACCAAAGTAAGAACTTTTTCTCTCAGGGTTTTCTACTACATCATCTCTGTAATAAGCATCAGCTGCTTGTTGGCAGTAGTGTTTTTATTCACAGCTAGCAATGTAAGAGTCGGACAACACATCTAGAGCCTCATGTAGAAGCTGGTTATGCTAAACAAAATGTAATTGGGTAGAAAAAATATGCATATGTATTGCTTACAGGAATGGGATAGCGTCAATATGCGTTTTTGCTCATGACGGCTAACCCAAATGTTTGGATGCCGGGCATGAGACTGTTGGACATCCTTGTCTCACATTAGGGAAAATAAAGGCAGCTGGGAATTATCCTTTTATATGAGGAGATCACAATAACAGGTGAAATGTACTCTACCTGACCTATTGACCATCAGGTCTGAAGGGGTATCTTAACTATTTTATTAATAGTTTTCAGGAAATAAATGGAAGCAGTATGGTTGAATGGTAGGGCTTATGATTGCTAACTCCAAGGTCTTGAGTTCAAATCTCTTGATAGAGTCTATAGGAAGTCCCTGAGTCCACCCAGCTCTGATGGGTGCCTGACTCATTAGGGAAACAAAGGTGGCTTGTATGCCAAAGTTATTGAACAGATGACATCTACTTCATCTGTCCCATGAGTCTAAGGCACAAATGAAAAAAGATGATTAAATAGAAGCAGTAGTTCACTTTCTATATTTACATTATTATGCTGTGTTATCAATTTATTTTTACCTTCATCCACTTCTGACCGCCTCATTGCACTCAGACATTGTTGCCCTCATACTGTGGTTGAATGTCAAATAGTGTAACACATTTACTCCTTTCATCAGGTATTGTGGTTGGATGGGAGAGGATCCTCTGTGGACCAGAGCCCAACAAGCCCAAAGCCTGCTTTTAACATGTCAAAGTTAGCCCCAGATGGCAGCACCATTCCAATAGAGTGGTATGATCTTCCAATAGATGTCAAATACACACAACCTTACGTCACTCTGGCCTTGCTTAAACATGAAGAAGATGCTGTTAATCAAGAGTTGAAGAGAGTGCCAGAGATCTCCCATGTAAGTTTTTTAAAACTCTCAAATCATTTTAGTTGTGAAAGAAAATTTCTGTCAACAAAACAGTTTTAAAACTTTTGAGCAAGGATGACATTGATGATTGATGTAATGGAGATTTTAAAAATTGTTTTTAAAAAGTGTTTTAAAAAAATGCACTTAAAATAATATACACCTTTTAAAATTTAATTATTTTCTATTTGCTGGACCAGTTGTCTCACCACTTGACTGCACTGTAGTCCACTATATTGTTTTCCTCCTGATACAAAAACCCAATAAATTTAAAATAATTTTTTCAGGTTCCCTTCCCTCCCACTAGAAATAGTATCCGTCGACTGCTGGATGCCTGCCTGAACTCCCCGCACCTGAGTAAAGAAGAAAAACATTCATACTTCAAACAACTGAATGACTGGGCTGTTCTGTTTGCTGTCACCACCCACCAGCAGACTGAGACAGACACCTTGTTTTCATCAGCTGCTCTAGAACATTTTACAGCAGGCTGATTGTTGATGTTGTCAGGACAAGTGCTCTCAAATGAACTGGCCTTTTTTTGTTTTATTTTATTACTTCAGCTTAATATAAGTTGACAAATTTGTTTTGTTAATAAATTTATCCATTCCTTCCAAATTGTATATTTAGTTGGAAATTGTTGATTGTAACAGTTTAAAAAAAAATCTCCACTATTTTGTATTTCAGAGCTAGAGATAAATAGTGATTTCTTTGGTTTGAAAATATATGGGTTACCATTTATAACTTATATAACATTAAAATAAAATTGGTTGGAAATGAAATTCTGATATATTCTTTCAGCAAAAAGTTTTTCGAATTGATGCAGAAAAAAAAATTCCTTTTTTTTAAATGAATCATTCTGTTGTTTAAAAATTAATTCTTGTTGTTGCTATCTGGTTGACTATTACCTTTAAAATAAACAAAAAAGTAAAATTGTCTTTAAACTTGACGTTTTCAATCTCAGCTAACATGGGTTGCTTTTTAACATCCATGCTAACTAATCAAAAGAATGGCTGCGGTAATGCAACCAGCATCAGTATTAAATATAGGTGTCAGCGACCTGATGGTTGGACCATTATGTTAGCTGCTGAAGACCTTAGTTTGGACCATTGCAGTGTAAATGAAGCAACCTTTTGAGGCTGCCAGCTTTTAACAGGTCTGCTTGTGATGTATACTTGTGTTAGTATAATGGAGCTTAACATAGTCCTTGACATTTAAATTAAAAATGGAAATGTGATTTAAATTAAAGCTGCTGTGCCTCATCAAAATGCAAATTTTTTTAAATGCATCATTATCCCTGGTAAATTTATAAAAAGAAATCCAAAATTTTTTTCAGTGAGATTAGGTTTTCAGAACAAACTATTCTATGACCTAATTTAAAAATCCTGATTGTGGAATGCAGATGTGCCAGTATTTGTTACCTTGATGATTGTTTTATTGCAGACCACAACAAAATAGTGGAGAAAACTCATTACATTTGTTTGAAAGACATTGTTATTGTAATATTTTTTAAGTGTGATATTGTCATTAAACCAGTGTTAACTTTTATTGTCTTAAAGCATTTCTTTGATTCTGATAGATGGGAAAGTCTCACAAAGCTGTTTTTCGAGGTGTCGATTGCATTTTTAATGGCTACAAAGCATGGTCAAAGACCACAGAACCCTGTCTCTACTTAGACTGACAATGCTGAATTTCATTCCTTTCATAAACTCTGTACCCTTTGATAAAAAAAAATGTTCACAAATTTTTATTCTTTAATAGAAATAATGTACAATACTTTAAATAGAAATTATAATCCATATTGAATAACTCTTGAACGCTGTCTTCTAATGTAATCTTGCATTAATTCATTGCCAGTTTTCTCTGGTGGGTAATAATCCTTGGGTGGTTTCCCTTCTCTTAGTCTCAAAAAATAGTTGGTATATCTGTATTGGATTACACCAAACCGCATCCTTGCATGTTTTCTTACACCCTTTATAATAATACCTTTAGACACAAAGGAGTCACCTAAAATATAAAATATTGTAAAACTATTAAGTATGAGTTATCTGAAAAGTTAAGGAGAAAATAACATTCAAATTCAAATTAATAAACTATAAATAACAGCTAAATTGCAAAAAACTTACAAATCCACAAATTAGATTTGAATTCAACATTGTGACTAGTCACTGCCTTTTCTTGTGCTTCCTCTAACACCTGCAACAGTACATAAATTTCATGTTAATCTAAAGAAAATAGTACAACTAAAATTGTTTTAAAAGTGTCAATTATTTCAGGCTAATGATACGATAAATGATTGTTGAATTAGTTTAAATACAGTGATATGTGGAACGATGTGATGGGGCAATAGAGCACTATAGTGCAAACTCAAAAGTCACGAGTTTAGAGACCTCACGAGTTTAGAGACCGACCTCAAATGTGACATTCCTGAGTTTACCCAGTTCTCGACTGCCTCATGTCAGGGAAAGTAGAGGCATCTGGTCATCTACCCATTCATGAGCAGAGGTAAAGGAAATAAAATAACTCTTCACCTACATAGCGACAGACGGGTCTAAAAAGGTATCTTAACTGTAGTATTAATATAACTAGATGGTATATTTTCCCTTGTGGCTTCCTAATTCTTTGAATACACAAGTAATAACATCAACCTCTTTTTTACTTTCTCGTGTACAGAGTATAAAGTATTGTAATCGTGCACAAAAATCATGAAATTTTGACAGTTTTCATAGTTTTACACCTCAGGACTTCATCATATACGGAGTATAGGGGACTTATTTTAATTGGGTAAAAATAATACAGATTAATCAAAATTTCAGCGTTCTATGCGTAATCGAGTCGGAAAAACTGAGCTTTGCAATTGTGTCTGTGTGTGTCTGTAAACACGATAACTTGAGTACCGTAACAGCTAGATTGATGAAATTTCATATACAAGCATTATATCAAATTTCTAGTTCTGTATCAACTTTTCAGCGACTTCTGGTAACCAGAAGTGGAACTAACTCTACTTTTGGTTTTTCAAAAGCCTATAACTTGACTACTATTTCAGATAAATGAAATTTCACAAATAAGTAAAATATCTAATTCACTGCCCTCTGTCAAATTTTGAGTTATTTCTGTTGACCCGAAGTAGTAATTTATGCTATTTCCGATTTCTCAAAAAAATGCATGTGAATTTATAAAGTACTAATAATGTTCTGCACTATTATACACAGATTGTTTGGCATTTACTTGGTGTGCAATTCTTTTTTTCTACTAGATTCTATTCCATTTTAAAAAGTTTAAGTAGTTAAAAATCATGTCTAGATCTATATCCCAATTTGCCATCCCTGCAGTGTTTTATAAGAATATTTGAGAAAGTATAGGGGAGATCACTTCCGGTTTATTTAATGCTGCAATTATAGCAACTAAATCATCCTAGTTTGGAAAATCATTGTAGAGTTTCATTAAATTGTCATGCATTCTCTGCATTTATTTACCAAGTCTACTAGTAAAAAAATGTAAAACCTCTTTGATGTGAGCAGCTCCTTTCCTTTTGTGAAATGACAGCTGTTTGATGGCTTCATCTATAGACATCCCACGGATCTAAGGAAACGTTTGAAGCATGGTGTAATGTATTTAGATCTCTAGTCAATGATTAACTAAGAAGTCAAATGGCCGTTTACATTTTATTAAGGTATAATTTACATCTCCTAGGCAAAACTAATGTAACTGGAGTTTCAATAGCTTTCTAGTGTTATAATTAAATTATACAATGTAACTACGAACAGGTTCAATCTATACCAAAACAAGATAACCAAAACATTAATTTTTAATTACGATGTGAAATAAAACAATTTTTGACTAAATTTGAAATACATTTGTTTTCTACTACAGTTGCAATATTTTAACATGAGCCTACCATTTGTGCAATGTACCACAACTTTTTGGTGCTGTATTTAATCTGCATCCTAGCATGACACACTTCCTACAGTAGAAAAAAATATAATTGTGATGAGTTTTTTAATAAATGTCTGTGTAGTGAGGGAACCAACAGTGTGACCCTTCTCTCACCTATTGGTTACTAGGGGACACCACTGAGACTAACACGACCACCACACTGCTAAAAAATAACAACCCTCTCTAACATCAGTTACCCCTGGGTCTGCATCCAGTTATATGTTGTAGTCTGTTTTGACTTTAAAGGTCACCTATAGGTCAACCTCAGGTGTCAACTGGGGTCATCATTTAGTTACACCAGTGGGAATTTCACCTGTAGTCAACAGTCTCAGGTGTCAGTTTGTTACCCAAGGTATCCATCTCCCAACTTTTTGTGTATATTTTAGGGGTCATCCATAAATGACGTCACGCTTTTTTTGACAATTTTTACCTCCCACCCTCTCCCCTCCGTCACACGTCATCACAAAAAGCCAGACCTTCCCCCTAAAATGAAGTCACACCTCAGCCTACAACCCTCCTCAAAATTGCAGTTGAATTTTTTTAAATATCGATATTTTTCCAAAATCTTGTTTGAACTCTGTCAAAATAGAGTATTTTAATCAAGTCCTATTACAATTTATTAAAACAGTTTTCTAAAACGCAAAATAACGTCTAAAATTTGTTTTCTAACATTGCCTTTTTATAATGCAAAAGTGTGACATCACACCATCTGAACCCCCCCCCCCCCCCTGATCACACACCGTCACAAAATTATGGACCCCACTACGAGTGTGACGTCATTTATGGACGACCCCTTTCCTTCAAAAATATGATTAAGAATAATTCAGAATGCCATTAAAAATGTCAATACCCCACATTATTATAGGAAGAGAAGTGAAAAGCTAACCTTTCACCAGTATTAATACATATAGATTAATATTACAATAGGGTTAGTAAGCAGGTCACCAACTTCTTGTTCTCGTACTTGCCATCTAGTATTCTTTCAAACCATATATTAATTATATTTTTTTTTATCAAATTGGTAAAAAAATATATAAATAGAAAAGGTTATTTCTGCTATTATTTAAAATCCTAAACAATGATAATGATCGCCAACAAGATGTAGGCTGGCTTAAAGAAAACTATAGCTCAAGTTAAATTGTGATTTTTTTTTATTAACGTACAATTTGTTATTATTTTAAAATCTTGAAGTGAAACCTAGAAACAAATAGCCACCATATTTTTTTAATGAATGGGAATTATGTTAAAAAACATAAATTTAACTCAAAAATTTATATCTCTCCCTGGCTAACAAAATTTTAAGCAACAGTAACTTACAAGCCCTATTAACGTAGTTTAAAAAAATTTAAAGAATGAAAAACTTACAGCTGGTCGCTCAAGCCCACCCAGAGGAGTAGGTGGATACAGAACACGATTGTACTTCAGCCAGTTTGGTGGTACAAGTTTAGCTTTGCCAACTCTCTTTGGCGCGCCTCTTTCAAACTCTGTATTTCTATATCCATATTGTAAGCTACTTGTGTGCAATGTAGAGGAATTGGATGCTGAAGTTACACCTAATATTCTGGTTGGTTTGGTTGGTATTAAAGAGCTTGAGATACTGTGTAAACATCTAAATGTGAAGAGACGTAGTTACATTTCTATTAATAAGAGATATTAATATGATGATTTTTATTTTATAAAGCAAACAATAGTATTTTATAACTATTTTAAAACAAACGGCAATTGTTAGTAAACACTAAAATAAATCAAAATATCTGTGCAGAAGGGAATGCCTAAGCTGGTAAGCAAGCAAATGCTTGATTAATCTGTCAAAAAGTCTTTCAACTGTGAACCGATCCAGAGGTCAAATGGTGGGGTATCTGGTGGTTGGTTAAGAGATGTAGGTTCAATAAGAAATAAAAGTAAAAAAAAGTAAAAATTCCTCCTTAGACCTTGCGATTCATTGGGCAATTGAAGTAGAGAACATGTTTCTTGACCTCAGCATTTGAAGGGATGGTATGGTCAGCACTATGCTCAGTCACCTTGACTCTCTAACTTAAGTCGGGTACTCATCAGAGCTGGGTGGACTAAGGGACGACCAACAGCCACTAGTCCAAACCATGATCTGAACTTTAGACCTTCAGGCTACTACTATTTGACCATGCTATCCCCAAATGGGACACAAACTACCTTTTCTAATATTCAATTTTTTACTCAACACTACTCTGATTCTGTCCTATCATAACCTCATATCTATGGTTTGAATTAATTAAAACTACTAACTAGAAACTTGAGCTAAGTATATTACTAGTTTATTAGCTATCGAGACTAATGAGATGAAAGCACAATCAGATACAAATCTGCATGTTGCAGTTTCTTTAAAATGACCATATTCATTTTTTGATATGTATACTAAAGTCAAAGTTAACAATGAATAAAAGACACAAAAAAGACAGGTCATTCAGTGTGCTGTTTTGTAAACATGCAAGCAAAGTGGAAAGAAAATATTACCTTCCATCCAACCTTTCATAAGGTGAATGAAAAAAATTTTCCACTATGCATGCATACATTGCATAGGCCTATTCCCTTGTCCCTAGAATATGGCTACATAAAATTAACATTAATTCTAAA